GAGCAAAATTCCTGGGCCCAAGAAGATGTGGTCTTTTTATACAATGGAGTACTACCCTGCCATAAAGAAGGATGAGCTTGAGACATTTATAGCTTAATAGATGGACCTTGAGACCGTACTCTTAAGTGAAATTGGACACTTATGTTTAAATACCACATTGTTTCTCTGGTGTGAGAAACTGACTGTGGAAATAAGGACTGAGATATATAATGGCTGTTGGGAAATGGGAAGAAAGTGTTCAAATAGGAAGCGGAACAAGGGAGGAGGGAGGGAGAAAGGAAGGAAGTGACAAGAAAAAAAGTGAAAATAGAAGGAAAAATGGAAACAAAGCTTTTGTACATGGGGCAAGGGGGCATGAGGGGGGAATGGGATAAAATAAAATAAAATTTATAAATTTGTTAAAAATAGAATAAAATTATACTCTCAGAGGAGTGTGGTGCATGCCTATAATCCTGGCACTCAGCAGGCTGAGGCAGAAGGATCACTGTGAGTTTAAGGCCAGCCTAAACTCTATAGTGAGGCCCTGTCTCATAATAAACAACAAATAAATTAAGTAAATAAATAAATAAATGTATACTTCCCAAACTACTAGTTTCTGAAACTAACATTCATTCATTCAACTCTTCTACTCTCTTTTTCTTTCCTACTCCACTCCAGCTTTCCTGCCTCATCAACACCAACCTCATTTCCTCTCAAAGTCTTTTACTCATTGATGCCCCTTCCTGAAAGATTCACTTCACACCTATCTTCACTCTACTTGTTTCTTTCCATCTTACACAACTTACTAATCTCAGACAACCTTACTAGACCACCTTTTCAAAAATATTCCATCATTTTATTCAATTTCCTTCCTTTATTTGTTTTATGACACTCTGTAATGATACTCTCAAATCAGGACAAGTATCAATTTCCTTATTTCTGCCCTATTTCAGTACATTATAAGCTTCGAAAGTCTCCTTACCATTTTTCCCATGACATAATGAGGCTTCAGCACATATTAGATACATAAAAATTATTTACTTAATGGAAAATTAATAAATTAAATATTTATTGAAATAAATTACTATTATGTACTATAAACAAGACCAAATCCTTGATGTATAATAGTGAGCACAAGTTATCTCCATGTTCATAAAGCTTAAAGTCAATTGGTAGAGAGACCCAACAAACAAATAAATTACAGAAAATATAATAAACTTCAAATTGTGAGATAGTCTACAAAGAAATAAATAGTTTCTATGAACAACTATGTAAAGAAGCAGAAGCTATTTAAGACTCAGTCCCTTTGAGGTGATTTTAATGCTTTCACAAGATGGCAAGGCTGATAAATGACAGAAGCAGTATGTGAATCCACAAAATGTGGCTCCGAAGTCCAGAACATTAACCATTCAATGGCACTTCTCAAAAGAACAGAATCACACACAGTATGAACCTCTTGTCACTTAAAAATTAATTCTTGCTTTATAAACAATTCTAAGAATTATGAGAATTTAGAAAAATATTTGAAACCCAGAAAAGAAAGCTATTCTTTCAGGGTCTCATAAAATTAGGAAGAAAGAGGCAAATCTATGTCTACTAATCAATCTTTTCCGTGGGTCAACAAATTTTGTATTTCTTACCTTAATACCTATTGCAACAATAAGGTGCTTAGGAAATTGAGAGCTGTCAAAACAATATAGACATTTTTCCATTTGTGCAGCAAGACGCTGGTGCTCAGCGATAGCCTTTTTCCTCTGGTTTTGTTCTTCTTCACCAAGATGTTCTCTCTCAGCTGCTTTGGATACAAACATGTCATCCAGAGTATAATAGTCCCCATCTGCTTTCCCCATAAACTGAAAAATCAAATAACAGTAGTAGGGAGTCAGTGGTTAAGATTTTATTGTAGAATAGCATCCTGAACTCATATCTGTAAGTTCTAGAATAAAATTCATACATTAAAAATTAAATAAAAAGAAATCATGATTATATTTAGATTTGATCTTCCAGAGTCAATCAATCCAATAACATGATTATCATCAACATCATCACAACTAAAGTTTACTGAACATTTACTATATACAACTCTGTGAAATTTATGTGTTACACTCCTATGAAGCAGAGACCATTATAATTTCCCCATAAGAGACAAGTAAACTGAAACATAAAGAAATAACTACTTTCACTTTTCAAATCAGCATATACACTATGAAAAACAGAATATTTTTCTGCTTTATGTCTTCTCCACACCTCCCCGAACATAATCTGTGAACAGACTGATGCTTTTAAAACATAAACACATATTTTATTTGTGGCTTGCTTAAAAGAGCTGTATAAATTCAAACTCTGGTATCACTTATGAAATCACAGACACAAAAAGGCACAATGATAAAAAGCTTGAGTTCTACAGCCAAAATAACCATAGTGAAATTCTATCTCTTGTCTGTACAATCTTTAGCTATTTATTCTCTCTGTAGTCTCTCTATCCCTTATTTCATCATTTTACAGTAATTATAACAATAATATCCACCTACTGGGGATATCTTCAGAACTCATACCTGGCATACAGTGAAGACTTATAAATGTAAGCTACCATTATTATTCCAAATCTCTTCATGATTTGGCATCATCAATGGTCTCCAGACACATCTGACTACACCCCTGCTCAAAGCCTATGTTCTAACTACCTTATTTTCAGCACCCAAAAGACCTGTTAGCTTCACACTTTGTACATACAGTTCTGTGATCAACTGTCGTCGATCAACTATAATGCAATTCTACTTATACTCATTCTAGGCTTAGATTTAGTTGTCACCCCATGAAAGAAATTTCATGATGACTACACTGTATCCTGAGTGTTCACTGACCTGTTGTTTTCCTTCATTACAATATGTTCTCAGTCTACTAAGTATAAAGCAAAACTAAACTAAAATTATTTTTTTAAAAACTCATCAAATACAAAACAGTAACAAGATGCTTGGATCTTATCAGACATTTTTAAAAATTTAAGGACAGATTAACATTTGTGTATTAAAGGACAATATCAATAGAATGAAAAAGCAGCCCATAGAATGACAGAAAATATTTATACATTACATATCTGATAAGTGACATATCAAAATATATAAAGAACTCCTTCTACTCAACAAGAACAACAAAAACTGACTAAAAAATTGGCACATGAGCCGAACAGACAATTTTCCAAAGAAGATATATGAGTAGCCAATAAGCATATGAAAAAATACTAAAAAACAACTATCGGGTCAGTGGTGCCATGCCTACCTGGTAAGCACAAGGTCCTGAGTTCAATTCCCAGTACCAAAGAAAACCATTAATTATCAGGGAAACACAAATCAAACCCACATGAGTTATTCCCATCACACACACTAGTATGAGTAGAACCAAACAGATAACAAGTATTATTAAGGGTATGATGAAATTAGAACCCTCATACACCATTGATGGGAATGTAAATGGTGTACCCATTTTGGAAAGCAGCCTGGTAGTTCCTCAAATAACTAAACATAAATTAACTAATAAACAAACATGTGTGTTACCATTTCTATTCCATTTCTAGGAATTTCCCCAAGGAAAATGAAAACATACATCTATATAAAAACTCATACCTGAGTCTTGATAATAGCATAATTCATAATAACCAACAAGTGAAAACAACCTAAATGCTCACCAACTGATACATGGATAAACAAACTGTAGTATACCTACACACTGAAATATTATGTAGCCATAAAAAGGAATGAAGTACTGATACATGCTATAACATAGATTTTTAAACAGCATTATGCTAAATGAAAGAAAGCCAATCACATAATATTCATGTGAAATGTCTAAAACGGAAATCTATAGAGACTGAAAACAGATTACTGGCTGCTTAGAGCTAAAGGGCAGGATTTGAGAGTGAGAGGTATAGGATTTCATTCTGAGGTGATAAAATGCTCTAAATTGACTATGGTGATGGTTGTGGCATTATACATAAATATACTGAAAACCACTGAATTATATACCATAAATCAATAAATTGTTCGCTATCTTAATGAAGCTGTTTAAAAAGAATTCACATCATCCAAAGACAGTTATGGTCTTTGCCCCCCAGAGAGAAACTCTAAGCCCTCTGAACTTCCTGCCTGATATTTCTGTTTACCTGGGAGCCTTGTGCCACACTAGACAGTGAATGCTGACAATGTGCTTAAACAAGTGGCTTTACTATTTGGCTCTGAGACACGTATTAGCTCCACCTCCAAAGTAGCTGGAAGCTAAGGCCAGCAACCTGGGCAATTAATTGTGTCTACATGAGAAAATTCTGATAAAAATTTTGCTGAGATTTGAGTAAGCTTCCCTGGTTGGCAATACTTCAGGGGTACTGTCACACATAATTCCTGGGAGAAGTTATCACTGCATAGAGCTCCTCTGGGACAGGATAAGTGAAAGTTTAGTACTTGGAGCCCTCCTAGACATTGTTCTCTAAGTATCTTCCTTTGGCTAATATTAGTATTCTCTTGGGGCTGGGGATTTAGCTCAGTGGTTTCGCCACCTGCTTCAGAAGCGCAAGGACCCGAGTTCAATCCCCAGTACCAAAAAATAAAAATAAAAGTAATATTAGTATTCTCTCTGTAATTAGCCTTCACCATGAGAAAAACAATTTTTAGTGAATTCTATGTCTTTCTAGCAAAATATTGAACCTAAGGGTGGTCTTAGGAACCTCTGTGCAGCTGTTGTCAGAAGGAGGGTGGCCTTAGGGGATGCTCTAGCATCACTGTGGCTGGATGGTTAGGGACTCAGAACACAGTTACAGACTTGGTGACAAGGAGCTCTGGGAAAGAGAAATGTAGACTGATCTCTCCATATGAATACAGAGTGGGAAGATATTTCTGTCCTATATAAAAATATTTATGTCACTAGCTACTCCTATCATTGCCCTCAATGCATTTATGAACAAAGGTGCCATATGGAGAGAAAACTTGGATGAGGTGAACAACACCAACTTCTACTCTCCAAAGCCAATATGTTTATAGCTCTTACTGAATGCTCAACATGCCAACAATAGAAACCAATACTAATCCCCTGTATGATACTACTCTCTCGGGGGAGTAGGCAGCTACCTGGTGGCAGGTGAAGATACTTATCGGCTTCCATTACACAAAGTGCTGTTCTTTGCTCTTACTGGAATAGACACTCTCTCTGAGTATGGATTTGCCTTCCTTGTATGCAATGCTTCTGCCAAAACTGCTATATTGGGACTTACACCATTATAGTATTTCACTCATTACTTCTTTTGATTAAGGAACTAATTTCCCAATAAATGAAATATGGCAATGGGTGTGTGCCCACTGAATTGACAGGTCTTACCATATTCTCTGTCATCCTGGAATGGCTGTTAGGACTGAACAGTAAGTTGGCCTTTGAAAACTTAAATTACAAATGCCAGCTAGATGGCATCATCATGCAGGGACAGGGTTATGTCCTACATGATAACTCTTTGCTTTCTGACCTAGGCTATACACAGTAATACTATGCACTGATACAAAAACCACAGAAAATGAACAAGATTCAGAAAAGGGATACCTAATCCTGAGTAAGATAATGAGTATCTCAGAGCATCAGTTTTTGTTTATTAAATGAGGTTAATACCAATGCTGATAATTATAAGCACTAATGTACGTAAAGGGCCTGACTTATACCAACTCCTCAAAAAAGGTAGTTGCTATAATGTTCACTAAGATGCTATACTCCTAGGACACCGTTCTCAAATGAACGTAATTTTATGACCCTCTTCCCCACCTGGGGATACCTGGCAATGTCTAAAGACATTGTTTATTGGTACAACTTTGGAAAAACAGAGGTTGCACTGGTACCGACTGGCTACCTGCTGCTACACTCTCTAATCAGATAGTACTTCTACAACGTAGAGTTGGCCAGCCCCAAAATGCCAAAAGTACTACGGTTGAGGAACTATGTTTCTTAGGGATTTTAATTATGTTATTGAGGCAAGAAAAGTTCTTTTGTATTCACTAATGATAAGCATCCACATAAACTGGAAATATTATTGATATCTACTCAGTTTCCGACTTTAAGCCTGAATGTAGGAAGTTAGTGAATTAATACTCTAAACATTAAGCACACAAAAATATTAAATTTCTTCTAGCTATGAATGATCATTTATTTTTCCACTTTGAAGTTTGAGCAAAAACAAAACAAAACAGCTCAGTGGCACCGTGCCTGCCTCCCAAGCACAAGATCCCCAAGTTCGATCCCCGGAACCAAAAAAAAAACCCCAACAACAACAACAAAAAAACCAAAAAGAAACTGAAATACAACAAATTAACTTGCATCTTATAAAAATTGAGATACTGGTGCATGCCCTACGGAGGTCCCAAGTCGCGCGAAAGATGCCGAATCATCCCGCTGCAGACAGGCAACCACCTGGTTCCACACTGCAAAGACAAAGAGGACACTAGACCACCAGACCAAGGTACTGAGTCCCGTTGCTCCCGGCCCAGAGGCAGGGGCTTCTGAGCAGCCGTCCCACTGCTCCTGGATGAGAGGAAGGGCTTCCCAGTCACCATTCCTCCCGCTGTTCCCAGCCCAGAGGAAAGGACTTTTGGGCCACCTTCTGTCCCACTGCACCTGGCCCAGAGGAAGGGGCTTCTGGGCCAACATCCCTCCCACCACTCCCGGCCCAGACATAGGGGCTTCTGAGCCGCCATCCCACTGCTCCTGGTACAGAGGAAGGGGCTTCTCAGCCACCAATCCTCCCACTGCTCCCAGCCCACAGGAAAGGGCTTTTGGGCCACCATCCCTACAGCTGCTCCTGGGCCCTGTCCCACCTCTCCCACCT